GTTATTTTCATCAGCATGCGCCAGCTATCAGTGTAACGTACGTTGGTTATTCGTAATTTTTTTTTTTTGTTAGTATTGGACCGTCGTAATCACTAAGGTTTCTGAGGTTCTTATCAAGGGTTAGGGATTACAACACACTAAGAACATCGCGAATTGACTAAATCTCGTCAAGTGAGGATCGCCGGCAAGGCTGACTTGATTTTCATTGCTAGAATACGAAAAAAACCCAAAAAACAATGGTTTCGCATTGCAAGATTTCGTCACTAATTTCTTATACCAAAAACGAATAATCGTTGAACAAAACAAAAAGCTTAAAAGTACGATGTTCAAGACAATACACTATTGATCAAAGCAACTGATGAAGTTAAGCAGTTGGTGAACTTTATTTACGCGGTGGTTAGGGGGCTGTACTGATGATTCCCGCACCTTATAATATCTGTGTTTACAGCTAAGGGATGAAACATAGGCAAACCTTTCGCTACATATTTCTTTCTACATGACCCTTTAACATATCATACAGTTTCGTGCCACATGAATCGCCCTACAATCGTTTCCTCAATATCATTACTTTACCTTATTAAAATAACTTAAGTCAAATTTTTTGCCGTTCCAGATTTTGTTGGTTTTTGGACCGTCCACTTGTTTTAAAGGCTACGGTTCGGCCTTCTAATGACCAAAAATTATAATTTTAAGAAATTTACTGTAGACTAGTGTCTGTTTAAAGTATCCTATAAAAGCATAGGTCGCTTTTCAGGAATGTATTTTGTATGGAAGTGTACTGAAGGAGCACGAAGAGCAGCTATTGCAACGTCTACGTGGCCTATGCGATCCTGGACAACATTCGTTCAACGAACATGAAATGGTTTTCAGCCTCAGTATGTTCCTTCATCACGATTTATTGATTTGAAACACAATCTTTATTATTGAGATTTACACGTGGGTATTCTTGGTGCGGGGCGCATTTCCTAGCCGTAGGTTAAAATTTTCGGACTGTGGCCGTTCCGCATTTTTCGTGCTTCGGGCCGTCCGCTCGTTTCAAAAATTACGGCTCGGCCTACCAACAGCCGCAAATTATTTTGACAAATTTATCCTACCCTTCATCGTAACTTTCTGACTCCGGCCGTTCCACATTTCGATTTCTTTGGACCATCCACTTGTTTTAAAATTACGATTCGGCTTTCTAACGGCCGAATGGTAATCTGATTTATTATCCTTGATATTATTATGATACGACCGCTCAGATTCTGTTTTCCAAATCTTTTCTTTTTTTTTTGAAAAATCTGGTTGCATTTTGTCACAGCTATCATGCTGACGAGGTTCAGTTGTGGTAATGGAGAGAAATGTATAATATTTTATGGACCCAAAAATTTATTTCTATTTTACTTATTTTTTTATTTTTTCACAATACGATTCCGTCCCTCTCCTTTTAAAAAAATTCTGTCGATGTACAACTTTCCTAATAGTATTGGTTTTCCTTTTTCGTTTTCTCTCACGTACCTTTTTCATCTTTTCAATTACTACGGTGCGGGATTTCGTTGCAGAAACTTTGCTATAACTAAAACTTGGTCTCCTGAGCCAATGGCATGAAGATTCTTGATATTTCCGAATACTGAAACTCAGAGTTCTTCCCCCACCTGATCGGTTCAGGAAATCTTTTGCAACCAATTAAAACCATTCGTCTCTTCATTGATCTTTGTGTTACTGTTAGCCAGTTTTCTTTTAATTTGGTTATATAGCTGAAAAAATTGAAATTTGGTACATTTATGGAGCATTCTTTTTGGTATGAATCATTGCAGAAACTGGCCAAGATCCCGATGTAACAGTTCGATTGAGACGAAAATTCGGCGGCCCCGATGCAAACAGTTTCCAGTGGCATTTTCGCTATATGGGAGCAGCTGAAGCAGATCCCCAATGTCCGACCATTGTTCGAAAATCGATCGATTCGCTCATTTATTCGAGTAATATGATGGAATTTGTGAAAACGTTGGGATTAAGGTAATGCTCAGTGATTAGAAAACTAAATTTTTTTTGTCCTGTAAGTTATGCAAGTGAGTCTTTTCATTATTATTATGCGTTTTTTTGTTTAGGATGGATTACGAATATCTCACGAAAGGATATTTATTTACAAAAGGAAACATCAAAGTAAGAACTTACTACAGCATTTTTGATAGAATTAATACGAATACTATCCGTTGTTAATACCTCTCTATTAATTTACCTTATTATTTAAAATTCTAAAATTTGGCTTAGGTCTTTTTTTTCAGATTATCATTAATAATATTACACGAACCGAGAAAATC